AAAGATTTTGGCCTTGGTGGGATAGGAATCAGTGTCTGTTGTCTCACTAATTACATCAGCTTCACATGTGGACCGGAGTCTTGAGTTATTTCTGATGAAGCAATAAGGGGTCCCTGGCCTCAGGCACTATGGTATTGGCAGTGTATTGACTGTGAGGCAGGATTTAATTTCTATGGGAAATCCCGTTGGTGAAGGAGAACGCACTGGAGCTGTGATGGTCACTGTATTTCACGCTGTAAGTCCTTCAGGACAGCTTTGGCATCGAGTGCTTTAGCGTTCTGGTGACCAAACCCAGGGCTGTGCAGTTCCTGACCCCACGTGAGTGGGCATGTGGGGTCCCAGACTGCCCTGGCAGATGCGTTTGGAAAGTCAGCTGACTTTAGATGCTGGAAACCCAGGGAGGTACAGACCACTGACTAACTCCGGTAACAGAGACACTGAGCTGAGAAAACTCACTGCACGAGGGTTACCAGTGTTTCTGAGCACACCAGCCACATAACAACCTCTCCATTTGCCCAGACCCGAGCATCCACAGCACCCATCCCACCACCCAGAGGGCACACCTCCGACGCAGCTGCAGGACAGCAGCGGCAGCACTCGTAAGCAAATGCCACTCCAGTGCCAAGTCGCACCAGCCACCACTTTCTGCTGGTTTCACTGGAAACCAGAACTGTTGGCTCAGCCAGTGCCCAGCCGGGGTACCATTACCAGACACCCCTGCTCGTCGCTGCCCACTGCAGGACCACAGTGCTGGTACCAGCCCATGCAGCTCCTGGGCTGCAGGGTTCTCCAGAGCTACAGCTTGCCACCCTCACATGACGCACCCTACGCATTCTCTGCAAAACTAAAAGCGAAGAAAAAACATGTTAAGTTCCTAATGGCAGTGCCCAAAGGTACTATATCTGAAGATAACATCAACAGAGAGAGCCAGCGCAAGTTCTCTTCACGCAACTATTTCCCAGAGGCTAATGGCAAGGGGGAGAGAGAGAAACAAGTACTGACAGTTTACTGTAGGAGCTCAAAGAAAAAGTGGACAAAGCTAAAAGAACTCCAGCTCTTTGTTCACATTTAATCCAGTTCAGGGCATTCACTGGTGCATACAGATTTACTTTCCATGGCTGACGGAGCTGGATATGGTCATCTGGTAAGAAACAGAGGATCTAGGATTTAAATTTTGTGCCCTTTAGGCTCTTACATATTAGGAAAAGTTAGTCTATAACATATATAAAGTTTTAATCTAATGTAAAAAGTGTGAGCTGCTGGCTAATACCTTCAAAGAAACAAATCCTGATCTTGAAAGATGAAGAACGCTTTCTGTTTTTAACACAGACCAAATTTTTAAGGGGTAGAGCACTTCTTTTGGCTCACAGAAACCAAGGGAGAGACCGAGGACTCCTGTGTCTACCCAAAGAATCCCCTATTTTATTTTCTTCCTGCTCTTTTCAACTCTCGTCTTGAATTTATAAAAGCACTGATTTATCAGAGGCTACTAGAATAATGTAACAGTATTAAAATATCACCGTCCACATATTTTAATGCAAAACTAAGAGTCCAAGCACCTGATATCACAGTACAATAAAACTATCAAATCACCATTGCAGGCTTTTGCTTTTGCTGAGGATAGACGGTTCAAATTACATGTAGCCTAATTTCTAAAGGCTATAGAGTCAATTCATCTCTGGCTGAATTTGCAAAACACCACATTGAAAGACAGCACCAGTGAGGAGGATATATATACAAGAACAGAACCAACAAAAGGGTTTGTGAGCGAAAGGTAGAGCGGCTAGGTTAGAAAAGGCAGAACTGGAAGGGAAAGTTCAATTGCAGAGTTCAGTGGACCCAAATTAGGCAGATGTGTTAAAGTGATTTTAGCACAGTGTATTGGAAATGCACCCCCAACAAGTGTGAAGAGAAAAGGGAGGGTTAGCCAGTAAATCTTAGGAAGTGCTATCTAAAAAAAAAATGAGAACAATAAACATGGCACAGTTTTAAAAGATAAAACTCTCATCCCTCTGCCCCCTCCCGTCCCCCTCCAAGTCATCTAAGAAGGACCCCTAGTACTTGGGCTCAACTAGTATTGCTCAAACTTCTCATGTTCAGACAAAACCAGACCTTTTTATCCTAACTGCTCGTGCCCAGCCTTAGCCGAGACCAGAAAAGCAGAAGTGTGTTCTGGTTGGCATCATGTCACCAGGAGCAGGAGACCAACACGTGACATGAGGCCGCCCGGTTGCTGAACTGCTCCCGCCGCTTGCTCAGCTCTTTGCAGTGGAACTACTCATTCTCTCAGAGATTGCTGGCTGTAAATGGGATGTTAATGAAATAAACCAAAAGGCAATTTAAGCTATTTAACTACACTTCAGGAAAAAAGCCCTACCTGGGTAGATGACACTAAGCCATGATGTATTTTGTATTAATGTTTCAAGTCAATTTGGCAGATCCTGATGGAAGGTGAGTTAGAAATATTTTGTTGCAAGTTTGAACATCGTACCAGGATATAAGGCCAGCCACTTGAACAAGAGCAGTGATTGAATTAGGGCTGAGAAATGTATCCCTGGCTAGTTTCAAATTAAAAAACCAGAGCTTTTAAAAAGGTACAAATGAGACTAAAAGAATTTATGTTATTTTTCCGTTTTCTGTGCTATAACTCCTTTTCCGTCTCCTCATCTATCTTCTAAATGTACTACCTTATGAATGAGTGAGCAATAAAAGAAGTATGCAGTGGCTGAGAGAGAAACTCAAGATAACAAGATAACGCAAAACATAAGCCAAAGCTTGAGCAGAACTGCAAGTTAAGATGTAGATCTGAATATAAAAGTTTCTCACATCTGAGTTTTAGGGCAGTCATTAGATAGTTTGCATGAAAAACTAATTCAAAAACAGTAGCACAAAATGTGACCTAATATATGCAAAGTTCACATCTCTCAAAATCTTGGACCTATACTTTCTAGGGGTTTTAATCCAGTCTTCAGACCACACGTGCTGACACTTCACTCATAGACTAAAATAAAAATAAAGCTATTTTAATGCCTTTGAAGTCCCAATCTTCATTGAAAAGGGGCAGAGGAAGAACAATGAGTAAAGCAGCAGCTACAAACTATCCTAAGGTTAGGCAATAGCAATTACTGTGCCTAGGTGACACAGGGACAGCCTCAAGACCAAAAGGTATGAGAATAATAAGCTACGATGTGCAGTCTCTAAATTACTTGTTTTAAGGCTGCCAAGAACAGGACAGAGTTGTGTTCGCCAGTGTTAGTGCACTACTTACGATCTGCTAGCTGCACAACTTAAGACGTGCTATTTCTCCTTGCCACCCCCAGTTTATGCTGAGATTTTAGACCTGAAGTCGCAGCACACATGTCTAGCCTTCAAGCTGGACTTGGCTCCTTCAGTGCAGGCTGCCATTTTCAGCAGCAGCCGGTGGAAAGGCAGACGGTGTCTGCATGGTAAGTTTTCCAAACACCCGAAACTGAATTGGGGGGTTTATAGCAAAGGGTTAATTCAGATTTCCATATCACTGACTGACCTCCAGCCTTCCAGGCTGCCTAGGTTTGGGGCTGCACAGATCAGCTGGGGATTCTCAGGGGAAAAATTATGTGGCCACTCCCTGAACCCAGATAATGCCTCTGGTTGGGTTTTCCACTGCTGGTATCTGCCAGGTCAGGCAGAATTTAATAATCAAAATTATTATGTTCTCTTTCAAGCAAAGACCAGTGTGAAAATAATTGCTGGAATTAGGTGTGTTTCCTAGCATTAATCCAAGGTAGCTGCTAAGTGAGGTCAGTTATAGGGCTCAGGACAGACACCGGGGACTAAACTGGTCTCCAGTTTTATTTGGCAAAGACTGGGTTGGTAAACAAAAAAGATACAAGGATACAGTTTCAAGGGATGTGAAGGTTGAAGGGAAGATGAAGCTGGTTATCTTCATAAGGAAAGTAGTGACAACTCAGGCATAAGCATGAGAGACCACTACAAAGAAGAGAACATGAGACAGGGTGGAGCAAGCCTTGACGTTTAGATGTTTGAGACGCTTTTACAGTATCAAGGAGGTAGAAAATTTTGAGCGAGAATTGATGACAAAATATGAAACCAATTCCTCATCTTTACTGTTACCGTTTATGCTCTAAGACTGACCTAGTTTTCTTGCAAAGTAGCTGGGGCATTTTGTATGCTTCATTATCCACGTGAGAGGAGACAAAACAATTCAAGCCCTCCAGAACGTGCAAAGAACTTAAGACTATGGTATATCAAAATAATGCTTAGATTTCCAAATGGGAGCATTAACTTGCAACATTTAAAACAGATGATGCCCTTGCAACATTTAAAACAGATGATACCTGTATGAATAAATGATCATCTGCTCTACTCTGTTGATTGATGTGAGACCAACAGGAGGATAAGCATTGGTAGAGTTTATTGGCTTGTTCACATCTTGCACCAGCTTATGTCATTTTCAGGTGCAAGAACAGTTTATTTTTGAACCTCTGTTTACAAAAATCAAGTTCCAGTACCTATTGTTGAACTTTCAAAGCATCCTGCATGTGGCATTTCATGTAAAGGTGTGATTTTCTGCCAGTTCCTAATTGCACTGCCATATGCCAAAAATTGCAACAACAGAAAAATCTGAAGCACCGTACGATCATATTGCAAATGAAAGTGAAGAAAAGTTGTAGTTAAGGAGGGTCCCATTTTACCTTTGGTCCATGGGCTATGAAATTAGGCAAAGTTATCTTCCTTGCTTAACTCAAAGTGCAAATGGGGAATCAGCTTTGCAGGCAGGATTCAGTTGATGCTGGTGAGCGTTTGCTACATGGGACAACAGAGTCACCAGGCAAGCAAAACCCACAGCTTTGGTGGGAACCTGGCCTGTGTCTGGTGGCAACTCATGCTGGAGAGCAAACCCATCCGTGACTGTCATTCAGTATGCATCAAATAACCTTGTTATTTTGAAGAGGCTCTAGCTTGTATTAATGCGTCATTCTTTGTTCTTCCAAATACAGATTCTGGAAGAAAACATGAAGTTAGAGTGCAAGTGCCATGGGGTCTCAGGATCCTGTACCACTAAAACATGCTGGACAACCCTGCCTAAATTCCGGGAGCTGGGCTACATCCTTAAGGACAAATACAACGAAGCTGTTCAAGTCGAACCAGTGAGGGCAAGTCGTAACAAGCGTCCAACCTTCCTCAAAATAAAAAAGCCACTTTCCTATCGCAAACCCATGGATACAGATTTAGTGTACATAGAAAAATCTCCCAATTATTGTGAAGAAGACCCTGTCACTGGCAGTGTGGGAACGCAGGGAAGGATGTGCAACAAGACAGCCCAGCAGTCCAATGGCTGCGATCTGATGTGCTGTGGTCGAGGTTACAATACACACCAGTACTCAAGAGTGTGGCAGTGCAACTGCAAATTTCATTGGTGCTGCTATGTTAAATGCAACACATGCAGTGAAAGAACAGAAGTATATACCTGTAAGTGAGTACGTGGCTGGGCAGGCTGACCATGTCCCTGGCCACGAATACATTTGCACATGCACTCAACGTACCTACGCAAGACTGTAGGAAAGACCTGCTCTCCCAGAAGAAATGCTGATGAATGGAGCCCTCTCTTTTCTTCTCATGTTTCATTGCTTATGTCGATACACATTTCAGACTCTTAACAAAAGTCAGCCAAGAAACAAAAACAAACAAACCCCACCCCGAGCCACCTGACACACAAAAGAGAGAAAAAGATCATCTCAGTTAATCTGCACCTCTAAAGCAAGAAGCATTGACTGCCTTGTGAAGAGACACCAGTCAGAGAAAAATCTCTGAGCGTGGCAATTAACTCTTTGTTTGGAAAAAAGACGGTCAAAAACTTCAGTCTATAAGGAGCAGGGAGGGGTAGGGGAGAAATCCTCAAAAAAGGGCTTTGCACAGGATCTGATGGACAGTGCCCAACGTGAATTGCCCATGCGAGTGTGTGGATGACACGGATTTAGGCTTCTACACTTGTGAAAAGCTTCTGCTGGTCTTGTCCATCTTACCACTTCATACCACTTGCTACAGCGAGTAGAACTATTGAAGTTTTCTGTAGACACTGCTTTATCTGCCTATTTTGTGTGTGTGTGTGCTGCAGATTTTAGCACAGGGATTTGGGACACTTGGGCATAATAATAGCAATATTTAACAATTTATTCAGATAAAACTAATATTAATTTATTTAATTAAAAAGAACTCTACCAACATTTTTGGAACTATTCTGCAATTAAAGTAGATAGCTGGCTTTCTTTGTGGAATAATTTTGTAGAAACAGCAAGGAAAAACTGGAGCTGTATATATTATTCTTAACTAGGATATTTCTATTAGTTGGACTTGCAGGATATGTTCTACAGTACTAGATGTTTAAGTACAAAAGCTGGCATCTTTATATATATGTACATACACAAACACACACTGTTGGATTTTTTTTTGTTTGTTTTTGGTTTTGTTTTTGGTTTTGGTTTTTTTCCTGTTTGCTGCTAGTTGTCTGGAACAAAAGTCAAGCGGTAGGGGTTACAAATCTTTACCAGTTTTTTTTTTTTTCTTCAATTAAAGAAAGAAGCATTAATGAAATCCTGTTTGGAATATGCCTAAAAATAAGAAAATCCAGACAAATTTCCATCTTTTGGAAAAATCAACCATAGGATAAGAGAGTATATTTTGTAAGAGACTATTTTTATATAAATATTTTATTTATACTACGTCTGCTTTTTGTTTTTGTTTTGTTTTTGGTTTTGGTTTTTTTCCTGTTTGCTGCTAGTTGTCTGGAACAAAAGTCAAGCGGTAGGGGTTACAAATCTTTACCAGTTTTTTTTTTTTTCTTCAATTAAAGAAAGAAGCAATAATGAAATCCTGTTTGGAATATGCCTAAAAATAAGAAAATCCAGACAAATTTCCATCTTTTGGAAAAATCAACCATAGGATAAGAGAGTATATTTTGTAAGAGACTATTTTTATATAAATATTTTATTTATACTACGTCTGCTTGTTCAACCTGTACTTTTTCTCAAAACAGGCATACAATTTGTAATTCTTAGGCTATTTAACAGAGAAAGGGTAATTAGTTTGTGGACACAACAGCAGCAAGCTGGATAGATTCAGCTGCAATTGGTGGATGTGTCAGAAAGCAGGATGAACTTTCTCTCCGGATGTGTGTACAAACCGGCTCTTTTCCTGCAGCTCAATTTGCAGAATATGCAAAACAAGAACAGGGTATGTAGCATCAATTTTGTCACATGGCTTGAATTCATGATTGGTATTAACGGGATGCTCATTTATCCCATTCAAGAAAAAAAATCCGAATTAGCTTCCCACATGCGTCAGTCATTAAACTGTGGCATTATGACTAGCAATGTGCTGTGTGTGCTGTCAGTTAAACCTCTATATTGTGTTACTGTCAAATTTGATTTTAATCAGTGGAAGACTGTAGACTATGACTGTAAAAACTAGCATGACACACATCGTCTGATTCTCATAGATAGGATACAAAGCTTACTTTTTGTCCAGCTCTTTTTGGTATTTACATTATTCTTTCCCCCCAAAAGGCCAGAGCTCAAAAATCCAGAAAAACATCGAGGCAAATTTAAAGACTACTCACTTGTTTTTCAGAGCCCAGCTAAGCCATTTTGTGTTCCCTTTACGGTATCTCCTTTTTATCACTGCTAATTTCTTCAGATATTTGAGTGGTAAATATTTCTCTGCTTTTAGGATCATTCTGTTTCTCCTGCTTGACTCATTTGTGACCGATAAAAAAATAATCTAATTTTAATGTTGTTTTTCATTGGGTAAGAAACGTATCCCAGCGCTATCAATGGTATTGCATGTTCTGTCTGGGACAGACCAGATTCTTCCCTAGTTCCAGACTACAGGATCTCACGCCTTTCATGAGGCTAAGAGGGGCATCAGTAAAGGAAACAAACCACCATCCAGCATGCAGTGCATTTCACTGACTCCTGTTGATAACAGCAAGCTTTACAAGGAGTAGATAATACAGATATATCTTGTGTCCATTGATCTTTCTGAGGCAAAACTCCCACCTAAGACTGCGAAAACAGAGAGTTTTCTGAGAAAGTAAACAGAAGTATCACAAAAGATGTTGCAAAGTTTCGCTATAACAACCTAACCTTTTAGAACTTGTCTGAATGTGGCATGGTGGTTTTTTTTAACTCACTTCTTGTATATACGTTATCTATGTGAGAACACAAGCCCATGCAGTACCTGATCCTAGCAATGTATAATTAGGATTAAATATACCGTTTCTTTGCAGACCTGCCACTTAACACAAAATATGCAATTCAGACACCAGCATGGGATATCAAAGTAAAATGATTAACATAATTTACTCTCAAACTTACGACTTGTCAATATAAAGCAATATAAAAGCAATTTTTTGGAGTAATTGAGTCACTGCTTTTAGTTCTTCTAAATTCCACACATCAGGAATTGGTAAGATGTAAAATGCAATGAAGTACATACAGTATGGACGTTAATTACAAGACTCTATTATGGTTAAATAATTCAGGTCTAACATTTAATTCTGGAATCGCCTCCCCCCCCGTTTGTATTGGTTTTTTACTTAATGAATATCATATCATAGTCAAAAGTGTGTTTTCTTCACTGATTAGTTATTTTACAAATTATTACTTTTGCAGCATGTTTTTACCATAGAAAAGTAATCTGTAAAACTCCTGCTTCCTGTATATTTCAGTATGCAGTGATGTGCAATGTACAGCTAGCAGATTAATTATTGAAGGACAAATATCTTTAAACAGTTTTACTCACAATAATAAAGAACTGGATGCGCAATGAAATGAATTGGGTACACATTTTCCCTATATTTTACAATATTGCCGGTGATCAGTGCATTAATTGGAGAAAATGTTGTTTTGTTTGGTAACTGGAATATTGGTTCGGGAACTGTGAATTAAAGAGCAAGGAAAACCAGACACTGCATTCAACTAGAAAGTATTTGGAAATTTGGCTGTGTCATCTTAGATAGGAGAAACCTGGCCCGTCAGAATCTGCCATGAGTCTGGAGTTAATTGGTCATTCTCTAAATGGGCTTGAATGGCATGAAGAATAAACAGGAGAAGGAGAAAGATTTACGATTTTGTAGATATTCCTCCCCTCGACAACAGTTTGTTCTTTGTCCTCAGGGATAGAAGAGCTCTGTTTTTACTTGGTGAAGAACCACACAATGGGAGTGAAATGCACACAGATGCAGAACAATACAGCTCTCAAAAGAAAATACATCTTTTCATGTCTACTAACCAAGGGAAGCACTGGATTGCTGTCCACATTAATAACCTAGCTGAGGCTCTTAAAGAAAACATACATTCAAGAAGCAGGAAGAGTAAGAGGAGTAGGAAGTGTAAGAGAACAAGCGCAATTGCAAGTTGGGAAGGTATTATTTATGAAATCTCACTTCCTCATTTGATAGTGGAACCGTGATTCATGGAAATGAAGCAGTTCTGCCTTGGGATTCCTAAGCAAGTTTTAAGGATTTTACCTCTCGGCCTTTTCAAAAGGACAACTAACCTGAATACAATTAGCTTGAATACTCGAAGTACCTGCATAAAACATGAATCAGTCAATGATTAACTTTTCTTTGCCATGTATGCACAAACCTAATGGAGATATGTCTTTCAACAGTGATAATTAAACTGAAAACATCCTTAAAACGTACTCTTAAGTGGCTCATTTGGTAAAGTTATTGTAAGGGTACACAGTTACTTAGAAACAGAAAGTAATGGACACGTACCATCTTACACAAGGCTCTTAATGAACTATCCTGTGGATTACAAAACTGTTTTTAACTGACCACACTTACAAACCAATTTGTTGAATACAGAAGCATCGCAGACTGCAGTCAGGGTGCACATATTCAAATGAAGATTCAGCATAAGTATTTCCGCAACATTTTTACATTTATCATTATAATAGATATCAGGAAATATGCACTGTGAACGTCCCAAATGAGTGTATTAACTAATACAGCTCCCTGCCCCAAACTTGTAACCCCAAGAAGTCAACTGAACAAGAAGCTCTCCAACTCTGCTGTTGGTGGAAGGACTAAACTGCAGATGCAGTGACTGACATGCCTAGACAGGGCTGGCCAAATCTGACTGATACTGCTGCTGTCAGCCGGCAGGGGTACAGCCCGAGTCAGGCTTGAATGTTCCAAAACTGTCCACAATTGAACCAAGTACAGGAATTTTATCACATAGAACTTCAGATGACAAAGCTCATCTAGATTCCAAAACATTCTCTCTTAATTCATGGTTATCTCAGATAGTTGTCACCATGGCAAGTGACCTAATTTGCTAACCCAATTCACGTTCTTCTGGTCAAAAGCATACCAATAATTCCTCAAAGGTGGGCATTTTAATCTTGAACAAAAATTAAGGGAATCTTTCCTCTGGAAACAAACAATTAATAACATATGATTAAGTCAAAATGATGAAAAGATGTACTTGGATCTAAAGGACTCCAGGTGTTTGAAGAAGGATACCAGAACTTTGTGATTCTTTTGTCCAGAGGTGATGCTCTAAAACCCTAAAGGCTTCTTTTGATGCTTTGGAGTTTTATGAAATTACTGATTTTTCTGTTTTGTTGTTACTACATATTCATAGATTCATCAATAGCACATACCATGTAATTTGCAATTGGGAGGTCAGAAACAAGTCCCAGAGAAATCTCACTTCTAAGTGTCGCACAATATATTTACTGGTGCTCTCAGGTTCATATAATTCCTTACCTTGATCTTGTATTTTTGTTAGCAAAGTCACTGCATCACATTCTTGTTAGGAAAGATGCCTGCTTTGTAAAGAGGTTTGATATCTCTGGGAGAAGATGAGATTATCTTTACTTTAGAGAAATGTTTCCAGGATTGTGTGTGCACAAAAAAAACAAAAATGAGGTAAAGAGGATGGTATCAAAATTGCACCACTTACCTGTGATTATTAACACATAACCAAGTTCTCTTAGCACAGAAAACTTAACCCTAGTTTTTGTGTTTCCTATGCTAGCTTGCATCCTTTCCCTATACACCAAAAATACGTGTATATATCATATCAGATCCACAGCTGATTTTGTGGTTGCTGATACAAACAATTCGCTAGCAGTACATCACAAGCCCAATACTACCAGCGTAGAAAACCCTATGCACCTCTGATTTATAAGAATGCACAGAAGATTTTCTTGGGAACAACACATTATGCACAACTTTCTGTTACTGCA